ACCAAAGCTACAACTGGAACAAGGAACTCTGGCTATCCAGTTCCTGGAGGGGAAATCAGAATAATCAATAACGCAGTAAGAAATGGTGTGGCGAACAGTGCTTAAGGGGGTGCAACAGTTGTCGGATAAGCAGGGGACTCGGCTTGTCGCTATCCAAGACAATAACGGTAACCTATTTTCAGGTCAGAAGGAACGCTTCAAAAGATGAAGTGAGCATTTCCAGCAGCTGGTCAATGATTGTCCTTCAAATTCATCATTTCCGACCCCCAATTGTCTGCCAATACTAGAGATTTTACAGATCCATCCATAAAACAAGAAATACAAAAAGGTTTGCTGCAACTCAAGGTGACGAAGATCTGCAAGGGGGATCGAATACCGCTAGAGTAAAGTAAGTATGCAGGAACATTGATGGTAGAAAACTCTATGCCATGTTTCATCACACGCAAACCTACATAAGTTTTACTGGAGAATGGAAGTGTCAAATGATTGTCTCTATAATGAAAAGAGGTTCGGGTGAAAGACTGTTTCAATTATAGCGGTATTACACTACTCTCAACTCCCAGGAACCTTTTTTCTTTGATTATCTTGGAAACTGTGAAGCAGGCAGTTGGAGGTGGACTTCGCCCAAATCAAGCAGGTTTCTGGAAATACTCCTTCAAGAGCAAATTTTCATTCTGCTTAGGATCACTAGTAATACCGTCGACTCCTCTTACATTTCCCGGTTTGCCAGTTTCCATGACTATAAGACCGCATTTGAATCACTGCTTCGTCAGAAGATGTGGAAAATCTTGAAATGCTGGAGGATACCTGAGCACATGACTGCGATTGTGGAAGAGATGCATTCAGGAACGATGTCTGCCGGCAAAATTGAAGTACAACTCAGAGGTCCCCTATAAACTACGGAGTTGGCCAGGGAGATGTACTTTCGTCTTCGCTATTTAACATTATTCGCGACTTTCTTCTCCGAAACAGTGCTGACGCTGGCAAGAACGAAGGTCCAATTTTAAAGGTAAGGCAGACTTGAAGATATCTGGCCAGATATTTTACTGGTCTTGAATATGCATATGATAATGTCCTGATGAGTAATACGGAGGAAGGGATCTATCATCTGACTGCTTTCATATGCAACACAGCGAAAGTCGACCTTCTCCTTAACGCCCGGAACTCAAAAGTCATGAGGAACCCATCCGGCACAGTTGACTTATAAATGGAACAGGGAGGCAACGCCCTTCAGGAGGTTGACCTGTTTAAGTGCTTCGGCTTCATCATCTCCAGCGATGGCACTATCCAGTCAGAGTTCAACAAGAAGACAGCCCTAGCCTTGAAAACCTATTCAATATTGGGGCTGGGAAAGGCGTTACTCTTGCCGCGAAAATACGTCAGTATCTTGCCTATGTCAGATCAGAGCTATAGTACGGCATGGAGACAGTGATTCTAACGAAAATCAAGTGTGCAAGAACGACGCAAGAACTGCGTACAGCAACGCTGGCTTCGACGAATAATGAGGGCTAGATGGCAGGACCACATTCGAACCAATCTGTTCTCTTCCGGGCACAGGTGAACTCCACAGATGTGGAGATTAAGAAAGGGAACTTTGTCCTTATATAATATACTGCATAGCCTCATATTATAATGTAAGAATTGGCCATATTCCAGAGCCTGTGAACTTCTCGTGTGGCAGATGAAATCCCGCATACTTGGACTTGAATCAGAGCAGGCAACATGGAGAAACGAGAAGTATATCTGCTTTTAAAGAGGAATATTTCCTCACGCGATGCAGTAACACTGCCTTTCAGCAAAACTGTTAAAAAGCTTCAGATACAGCGGGCATTACAAACCAAAGACAAAAGCTATTGAAACATCATCAATAAAAAATAAACTATTTATTTGAGCTCTCTTTAATGTTTTATTGCTCTAGCTAATAAAGCGTTTGCGAAATTGTCTATAATAATCAACTACTATTGAATAGTGATCCGTGATCTTATTACATGACCAATTAAGCAGCTAGCCAACAGAAACCTACAGTGCGCAACATGCCATAAAATCCGGTTTCCGACCGATGATTCAAACAATCTGCGTTCTGATGACGTCATCACACAAATTGTGATGTTGAGACCTAAGTTAACGAATTACACTATAAACCTCGCATGAGAAACATTAAATAAACTGAGAACGGTCGTCGACTGTCCGGAGAACGAATGGCTTGACGTGTCGGGACGTACCAATCTCCGCTTATCCTATTCTTGCGTCATCCTAGTGACGTTCATTTCGATTCACTTTAGGTACCATCACTCAAAAGTCGCTAGGATCGCTCACTTGGATTCAAACTGAGAAAAAATCTTGTCGTTACCTCTTTCTCAAATACTGTTGGCACTTCTGCACGTTTTCCGAAGCCGAAAAGTCATTAAAAACTTTACAGATTCATTTGTTGATTTTGAGATCTTCGGAAGGCATCCAATAATGATCTTCCAGCAGCGGCATATTTTAAGAGTTAGCAAAACGAGGTCGCTTTCTCGACACCCATGATTTACAACAAATCGGACAAACCATATCTTTGTAGAGTACCGTAATACCTCTAACGGTGTTACTACGCCAAGTCCGACCAACCTCAATATCCCAAAGCTTCCAATACGGAGTTTACTGACGAACCGCACTTTTACTGTCGCCACTTTGTTTAAGCATCAAGGCAACGCACAGAAACGAAAATACTTGCTTTAACTCCAAATCATCCAACTCACCGCAATTCGCGTTTAAATGAGTATAATGCTCACAATCTTTCTAGTAGCTCAGTTCTATGAGTTTCACACATCTGTAATCAGCTTCCATAAATTTTAGCTTCCAAACTAAAACTTCTGGTTGCATCCTTCCAAAGTTGATCGGCTTGTTGTCATGTAAGGGAAGGACATGCGATGAATGACAACAAAGAACTCTCAAGCTGGTTGCACTTGTGGTGGATGAACGATGCTGCGTTGAAAAATAATGCAAGAATAGCATAAAAACGACAATGGAAATTGTTTTATATAAATGCTTACCGGGAACGGTGCATTTATCTTTGAGGGGAAACGATTCGTGAGTGCCGGTAACTTTGCGACCGAAACTTTCTAACGCTTCAACAAAACTGGTGGACTTCTTGATGCCTTCTCTCAACAACAGGTCGTCTTCAGACATCGGAGCAAACCTTCGGCCATTTCTGCACAGCTGCGAAAGCAGCTAGTTGTACTCATAAATCAGGCTAAAACCGAAGTAAGCTACCATGTTCGCCGTCCGTTTCCATAAATAGTTGCAGCAGAAGCAGTGCGAACGGTAGGAAAATATTATTGGACGTAATCACAAGTCAAATCTGATTTGTAAGTTCATGTTTAAAGAAGAATTAGTTTACGGAAGTATACTTAAAGTATCTCATTCTTCATCACAACTGATCAATAACAGCTGATCGCAACAATATCGCCAATGCAATCGCATCGACTTGCCTGATGACTACTTCATCAATGTATATCACTAGAAGGTGTAAATTCTGCAGCACTGGTTGTCGTTAAAATCCCAGAATTGTTTGAAACTACCCGTAAAAGTTACATCAGCGTAAAAGAAATAGATTCAGTAAAAATTTTATACTTTCTAGACAGATACGCAACGTCCATATTCTTGTTGTCGTCAAAGAAAGTGGACACACGATTTCAGTCCTTTTAAAAGCATTAATATTTCTTCAGTGAAGTGGGAATTCGATAATAATTGGAAGAAAAAACTGTTTTATAGGTATTGCATAATATGAAAGTAGACGGCCAAGATTAATCTAGCGCAAGTATATTAAAGGGGTCTTCGCTCGATTTCGATTGTTTTCTGCCGAAGCTCAGGCGCTGGCACAAGATCGGGAATATTAGAAGCACCATCTGTCGTGTATACCTCAGCGATCCAAATGGAGGAAAAGGGAAAATGAACGAATTCTCTCATTCATTCATCTTCAATAGCCACTGCTCCTTCCAAGTCGCGGAGACAAACGCGTCAGACAATGCTTCCAACGTGCCCGATACTGTCCAGAATCTAAGCATCGGCAGAAGACAACTGGAATCCGGAACAGACTCCATCCATATATTCACACCAGGTTAATGTTGGCCGTCCCCTGAGCCTTCTGCCGGTCGGTTTCGCAACAAAGAGTTGTTGCTTAGCCTTTTTTCTGAAGGCATTCGCAACCCATGCCCAAACCATCGCAGCTATGACTTCTCAATCTGGAGAATCACAGACTCCACACCAAGGCTCTTCCAGATATCGTTATTCCGGATCATGACGCATAAGGCCAGCGACTCATTTAAGAAGGCCCGTTTTAGCAGCTTCTACGCGGGTTCAAATCTTTTCAGTCATGGTCCACGACTCCTCACCATAGGTAAGCATGGGAATAAAGGTTAACTTGAACACCAAGAGTTTAGTTTTCAGACAATGACTCTGCTTTAGACACAATGGATCAGGCTGGTTTACGCAGAATGCCACTGGCAACTCCAATTCACTACTCGATCTCTTTATCAAATTTTCGTTCACTAGTAAATTTAACTCCAAGGTACATGAACTTCTCCATCTTCTCCACTGCCTCTCTGTTCATCTGAAGAGAGCAACGCTCAAGAAAACGAGAAAGCCCTATGTTTAAGTTTTGGACAAAAAGTTTTAGTGCACACGCATGCCGGTCAAGTTGCACTCGGCTGCGAACCTTTGTAGGAAGAACTGCAGTTGAATTTCAGAAGTTGCCAATAAAACAAGGTCATTTGCGAAGAACAATCTTCTCGTCTTCACATCTCCTACACCAATACACTCCCGCCTTGGCTGCTCCTGACTATTCTATTCATGCACAACACAAACAGGAGATGGGACAGGACGCAGCCTTGGCGGAAACCAGTGTCAGCGTTGAAAGATTTAGACTTAACGCCATTTACTCTGACCCAGAACCTGCTCTCAGAATACAGTGACTGGGTGGCCCTCACCAGCTGGCCATCTTTCCCATATGCTCGCAGGCATGACCGCAGTCTGTTGCGTGGGATACATGAACGAATAAATCAAAAGTCAATTTTGTCAGCCACCAAAAACGGTTGCTTGTTCTTTCTGATGCGGAGGCAGAAGGATCCAACAGTTTCGTCAGCTTTCGATTCTTTTTCGGTGTTTGAGTATTGGCAGTAGACTTCCCAATTTGAGAGTAGTTCATAGCCGCTTTCCCTAGGTCATTCCTGGCCATCAGCCGAAGATCCATCTACCTAAGATCTTTGAGCAAGTAGCAGCAGTATTGCTTATGTTGGCGGAAGTATGCCTCAAACGTGTTAAGCCATCGCGCCTGCGACTTATCAATCTTGAGATGATGCTGCTCTACACCAATGGATATCTTAACTCCTGACTTTTTAAAATATCTTGATCAAGGTGAATTTATTTCAATAGAGCCTTTTTAGTCTTGTTCCACGATTCATGACCATAATTGAATATCGAAATTAAAATTGACTTTAATGAAGACAGCCTCCTCCTCAAACTCATCCCTGTCTTAGTCATTGTGGCAAAAGTTAGCTCATTCAGAGCACCCCTAGAAATCTCAAATCGCAGATCGATCTTTTTTGCTCATTTTCCATCACCAGTAAGTGCTACCCGAAGGAAATAAACTTTTTCACCTGTTCCACTGCTTTTCCGTTTAATTATAAAACGTAGCGGACATGGGAAGGATAAAGTACTAGCTTTCCTATTCAGATACATTCAAACGCATACCGGTTATGGCTCCTGGCTGCTAACTTTTCCAGTGAGCGCTGGAGGTCAGTGTCGAAGATTCAAACATAAAAAATCGTCTGCAAACAGCAAACATCTCATTTCTACATTTCTTCTGTTGATGTATTTGCGTGTCCCTGTCGATTCCATCGATGTGCCACACAGATGGCAGCTGAGATCTAACGTGCATTCTATGGAGAGCAGTACCAACAGAGGAGCGTCTCGCCTTAAGCGATTAGCATGGACGCAGCAACTGCTACTAACATGCAGTGATTATATGGTTATAACAATTGAAATCGACCATTGCTTGTTGCGTTGAATCCGATAAAGTGTTTTCAACAGCTTTGCAAGGCACATATATGCTGAATTAAGGACCTCTCATAATTTCTGAATAAACTGGAGAAGATCTGGTCAGGGATGCCTAGAATTGTGCGAAACGTACACTGTTCCAAATCTTAGACTTAGCAACTCCAATACACCTCCTATCAAATTTGTGTAGACTTTCTGGAATGGAGTGGCGATTCGCTTGTAATTTGAACAACATCATCGCTCTTCTTTTAAAAATGTACTACAACCCGCGTTCTCCAGCATACTGAATTTTATTCCTAGTACTCCAAATTTAACAGATGCGCTAAGCCAATAAAACTACCGTTAAACAATTTACGACGGAGTTTATTGATTCCGGAAGACTTGCCGCTTTCAAGCTTTACACATATTCTGCAATTTAATCTACTAAAAGACTATATACGTTGCTTGATTTTCTTCATGTCCTGGACTAGGCTAAAAATAGTTCCTCAAATACATCGCCAAAGCATATCTCATTCGTTGGAAAAGACTCTGCACTTGTCCACTTTCAAACTGCCTTTGTTACTATCTCAACAACGGTGAGCTCACTGTAAGCATTCTTTGTTTGCCGCCTGGAAATTGCAATCCAGCATATCACCGAAGTTTTCATATATTTTATCCTTTCTCTTTTAGTTCACTGCTTAATCGCTGCTCCTGACTGTTCTATCCATGTACCACACAAACAGAAGAGGTTACAGAACACAGCTTTGGTGGAGACCAGTTCCAACGCTGAAAAGTTTCCACTTGACGCAATTTAGTCTGACGCAGCATATGCCCTCAGCATTATAGTGATAAAAAGCCTGCAGCAGCTAGACATTGATCCCATGTGTTTGCAGGCACGCAAATAGACTGTTGCGCGGGATCCGGTCACAGGCTTTCTCTGATTCAACAATACACGTGTACACCGGATGTGCAAACTCCCACGATTTCTCAACAGTCGGAGTAGGGCAAATACCTGGACAGTGATGGTTCGACCGGGGAAGCCACACTGCTTTTCTTGCATCTTGGAGTCAGTTATTTCTCAACACCTCCTTTCTACCATCTTTG